AATTTTCAACATGTGAAAATTTATTGGTAATCTTACGATTTAAAATTTAGAGTTTTTTTTTTATATATATTTTATTTTGTTTTAGCACATATGACTAATTTTGAACTAAACCAAAAATGAATTCTCTTTTTTAATTATTTATGCTAAACAATTTTATTATCTAAATGTTATCACACGTTTTTATGAGGCTTTATTTAGTTTCAAAATAGCAAGTCCCTAAATTCCGTATCAGGAATTTTAAAAAATGCAATCGTCCCACCATAAGGAGATGAATTTCATATAAAATGCATAATTATTTATTTTTTCTATTTTTAAACCGATCTCTTCAAGCAATATGTCTTTATCGAAACGATTAGTACCTTTATTACGATTTCTCCAAACTCGTTCTTACCAAGTTGAGGAAGAAGGTATCATAACGATCTGTACTTCAAAAAAAAAATTGTGATAACTTTTGTGATGGATTTTCGTGGATAATCACTCGTTTTTTTGAGTTTTTTTTTTTAAAAAAAAGGGAATTTTTATTTTATATCACCCTTTTTTTATTTATATAATATATATTATATTCAGTTTAATTCTTTAAAAGCTTAGCAAATAATGATAAGATGATGTATTTTTAAAATTATCGGTGGGAAAAATCTAATAATCTTTGAAAAATCTTGATAATTCTTGGTATCAAAAAAAAATCAAATTGTAACCCCTAATATACGAAATTGGTTAAGACAATTGTAATTTTTAGGGTTTTAAAAAGTACATTATCGGAGGATTATTACCCCTCGGTGTTAAAACTTTGCAGCAAAATCGATCACCAAAAAAAAAATTATGTCATAAATGTTGTAAGTTCAGGGTTTCTCGGCTGTGTCAACACAACAAAAAAAAAAAGAAAACATTTGACAAATGATTGTTATAATAAGTATTAAAAGAAGGGTATTTTAAAATATAAAATATAAATAGGAATTGTTAATTGCGGGGAATTTCCATTTTTTTTCTTCCAAAGAAAGAATGTTCCAAGTACATGAATGACGAATCATGAATCGAAGTACGTAACTCTCGCAGCAAATTTTATTGTATGATCATGCACGAAAACATATCGGATGAAGATTTCATGCGAGTAAATGTGATCATGCATCATATTATAGGCTAATTATATATATCAGTCAGCCCGCCCAATTATTAACGAACCTAAAAATCATAAAAAAGAAATCTTGATAAAAAAATATCTGAAAAAATTAAAATTCAAGGATAACCTGGGAAACAAATGTGATCACTTTACGATTATGTCGTCCAATTATGGGAAAAATAAAACTTGGGCGTTTTATTCTATGATGTATTTGAAACTCTTAAGATAATGAAACAAAAATACTTAAAAGTGAGACTATTGTTTTCACAATTCAATAATTAATTTAAAAAAAGGGAAGCAATTCAAAGAACTAGTGACAAATAAATTAGCTTGTTGTCTTATCAGATCCTTTGCGCTAATGAATTTTTTTGAATTTTCCCCACAAAGAAAGATTATCCATTGATAACGCGAATGAATCTATTTTTTTTTTTAGTTTAGAATAAATAGGATTAGTAACTCAAAAAGAACAAGTGTACACAAGATATACATTTTTGAATTTAGGAAGGACACGAGAGAAATCACTTATTAGGAGGCATGTAATTGGTTAAAATGAATTGTGGAGTGTTGTGATTTTCAAACCATGAAGCGATCATATGACTGATAGATGGCGTAATACTACCATACTTGGCACGGATACCCGTCATTCTAAGCCTAAAATCAGACGGATAAATTTTTAATAACGTTGCCCTTCCCTTCCTTGACTTACAAAAATTGCAAGGCTCTTGGAAAAATACCTTGGCAAGTGTCATTCCTGACAAACCTAGGTAGTGAGAGAACCCTCGAGTACTCGTGACATCTTCAAAAAAAACGATGTGACACCAAAGATATGATAACTTTAAATGGAAATGACAACATACCATATGTCGTTTAATCAGTAATTTTAAGTATTTAATATATGATTTATTGAACTACAAAGTGCATGCATTTATTGTTTACTAAAAATTATGCAATAGATGCAATGTGAGGATTGCCAATTTCTATGATAGAAGATGATTTTAATTGGAATTAAGTTTATTCTGGGTGATACGAAAACACAATCATATTAAATAATTTAACAAAGATACTTGTTGGTTTCCTTGCATGGAATCTATTTCGTTTTTAGTTAGATGAGAAATACTTGGGCTTTGAGAATTTATTTATTTGAAACATAACCAATAAAATGTCACTTTGATTTTGAAAACATCCAAACTAGTTTAATCCAAAAAAGGCATATCAGTTTGTTAAGAATATCCCGTTTATTTATTTGGTTAATACATGAAAGGTGTTATCTATGCCGAGTCATCGCTGAGTACTTTAATCGTTCAATGTTTACCGAAAATTTCTTTCACAAGATTTTATGGTGGTACGATAGGATAAAAACACATTATCAGTAAAAATCAGTCGTTCTTATTGTGCTGCGGTTAATATAATGAATGAAAGTTCAAATTGACCTTTAAAATGATTTTTATTTTAAAATTAATGAATCCAAATCATTATATGTATTATGTAAGTCACATAAAGAAAAGAAAGAACACACATGTTTTGAAAGACAATTCAAAAGTTTCAAAAAAAATTGAATTTTGATTGTCTTCTTTCCTGGGTTTTGGTGAAACTCCTTTCTTACGGAATATTTAGGAAGATCTGCTTCTTTTTAAAAAAATAATGGTAGTTTATGTCCCATTAGGGTGATATTCAAAAAAAAAAAAATTTTTACTATTATTTATTATCATCATTATTATCGTAGTAAATAAATAAATAGAAAGCGAAATCAAAGTTTTTTAGAAAAAAAATCCTCTCATCATATATAAAATAATGATAGATGATACCAATTTTTTTTTGTTTATTCTACGCATATCGTATCATCGTTAAACATCAAAATAATTTTTTTAGTAATATTGGCTATATAACGTGAACCTGTTCGTCGATTTTTCTTTTCCTAAAAAGTGATTTCTTAAATGCCTTTCATTGTAATTTTAAAAAATAAATTTCTGTCTGGGGAGAATCGTGTACTTTAATCGGAAGCGATGTTCCTTTTTTTTTTTAAAAAAAAAAAAAGTTTATTTCTCTTAAAAAAAAAGGTAAAATAAACTTCTAATAAGGAATTCATATGCTTGGTTATTGTATTAGTAACATAGTAAGTAACCCTGCCCTGCACCATGATCGGAACAATTTTTTTTGACTTCGTACTTATTTGTACGATTTTAAATCTATAATTTTGAAAATCACACGTCGAAAAAAAAAAAAATTTTGACATTTGATAAAAAATCCACTGATAATGTCCATTTGAGAAAATCTAAAACGTGTTTATAAGCATAATTTTTTTTGCATTCTTTTCTTTTGACATGAAATCAACCATTTAGAAGGTCCCGATTTTCATTAAGGTTGACATCTTTACACACAATAAAGGTTGAACATTGTATGTTTTATCGCGTGAAGCATCTACGTTTTCACTATCATTTTGTCGTGCCTTTGACACGATACATCACTCAATCAAACTCTAATCATCACTTATAAAGTGTATAATATAAATTATGTGGTTTCACAATCACCAGCCAGCCAATTATAATCGCAAATTAGATCTTCATTATCTACTAGTTACTTTCGAATTTTATTATGACCGATGGAATAGATAAGTCTAATATAAGTAATAAATAATATTAATATAATGATACAATAATATCTAGTTGGTAATACTTTACACTACAGTTTCTGATATAGAAATTCTAACATATTAAAAAAAAATAAAATGAATTGGGCTAATCATTCAATCATTCAATACAATAATACTGTGTATTTACTAAATATAAAAAATTTTTTTTTTTTTTTTTTTGCATTATTTGTTCTATTATATATCCCATATAAAATACGTCCTTTTTTTCGGACCTTTCTGCTCTCTACATTTTTTAAGAAAATTTTCTCTTTTTTTTTATTTTTTTCTATATATATATACATATATATTAAAAAAATTTATTCTCAAGACTTTTTTTAAAGTTTTAACGAATATCTTACGAAAGTCTAAAGTAAACCGCAAGCTTTTTTGAAAAAACCTCGTGGTTCTTTTTGGAAGAACAACGTTTTAAGAAATTTATTTGCAGCTCAACAGCTCAATAAAGATAAAAGAATATTTATTATTTCCCAATCTTCCTACAAATAATTACGATATTCCATTAAAAAAACCGATTATAGAAGGTTTTTTTTTCACCCCTTTCATTAAAAAGAAGCAGAGAATTTTGTTTGACTGATAATCGCATTTTAAAAAAAAGTTTTTTTTTTTACTTGCTTTTGACGGAGTAACCGACCAAAAAAAAAAAATTGTAAGTGTTTATTAATCATGATATCATGAAATTCTTTTTTTTATAAATAATCCCACCCTTCATGAAATTTTCATTTCTTTTGCTTTCAATTTTTTATTCAAAAAAATTTTGAAGTTAATAAAAAAACAAGCTGACCTTATCATATGACGGACATAATATTTTCCGTCAAAACACAAAACATACATTCTCAAAACCTTTGATTCTAACAACATCACAATTTCTTTATTTATTTTATAGACGTTTTTTAAAATTGAAATTAAATATCATCAAGTATTTTGTTTGTCAACGACACTACAAATAGAAACATTTAATTAACTGTGAACGCTAATAAAAAAAAAAAATTATTAAACTGAACGAGGGAGAGAATTTTGACAAAGTGATATCAAATAGAACCGGTTTCGTTTGAAATTATTATTGAAACACGAAAAAAATAAAACTTATTTGATCCCCGCCTCTTTATATTTGAAACCAAAATACCTTTCGAACACGTGACATACAATCTCTCCTTGTGACTACATATTATTATTATTATATAATATATATATAAAAAATATATATATATATACACTTGGAATATTTTTTTTCATATCATGCGTATTTGGCAACAAAACTCTTCAACAAAATTTGTCTCTCAGATGTCAGAAGGAAATTATTGTCACCACCAACATTGTGAAATATTAAATTTCGCTCGACCCGGTACGCCGACTGATTCTCTCACAGCTGCTATGACGGCTGAACGAAGAAAATTACGCGAACTTCCGAGACTTTCTATCAACACAGACATTACGTTAAACTCTCATCCGGCAAAAAAGTCACCCCATCAAGTTGATGAGGTCAAGGTTACACGAGACACTCCGCACGTCAAATTCGCCGAAAAAAATCATCGACGTACTAAAACTGAAGTCAAAATTACTGCGGATCTCGATGTTGAGTCAAATGAATCAAAGAGAGATGATAATGAGAAATTCGAGAACGATAAAAAGAAAAAGCAGAGATGTAATGCGAAACAATTAAAAGCATATCGACGTGCCTCCGCGCCTGCCAAAGGAATGGATTATTATTTTAAGAATACCAAACAAACAAAAGAGAATTTGGTTGCCATAAACTATTTTAGTAATAGTAACACTGTACCCGAGGTTAATGAAAGTGAACATAGTATACCAACCGTTCATGTTCAAGACTATAACGAAAAAAATAATCAAGACATGAATAATGACAATCGTAAGATGTCAATTATGTCCATGTCATCGTCAATCACATCCATATCAAGCATTATATCTCCTTGTGACCCCCCATCACTATCTCCATGTTCTTCAACTTCATCTCTAAATTCTTCGATTGATATGCTTAGTCCCGCGATTGCAAAGCAACAAAACTTTCCACAAAATTTTAATCCTTGGCCAATTAAATCAAGATCGAAAAGTATCTCTAATGAAGAAATCCTTTTTAAAACCGAATCACGTTCTCTACCTGATATTGTACCTTACGATGCGAACACGCCGTGGTCTCCCGCTGCCATGTTCTTGTCCAATTTTGCTCATTCAGCTAAACAACCCATGCCTGATGAAGAAGGTCAACAAGTTGGAGAGTACATCATTGGAAAAGTTATCGGACGTGGTGGGTTTTCCACTGTTAAGCAAGCTTACACGATGGATAGTTATTCGGGTTCTATGGAAACTGTTGCGGTTAAAATCATAAGGAATTATCATGGATCTCAAGATGATGATCGTGTTCAGGTGAGATATTTTTTTTTGACAAAGCTTTGGTAATAATATCAATTATAATATATGAATTAATTTATAATTATTATTTATTCCTTTTATTTAGGCATTGCTTGAAAGGGAAATCGCAATTTGGAATAGACTCGATCATCCAAACATTGTACCAATGTTATCAGCTGAAGAAACCGATTACGCTACATTTGTATTTTCGGAGTATTGCCCGGGGGGAACACTTTTACAGTATATCAAAACCCATGGTCTATGCGAAGGAAAAGGATTGGACGAAGATGAGGCAAGAAACATCTTCTTGGAAATAGCGGAATCAATAAGATACCTTCATAATGATATGAGGCTCGTCCATAAAGACATTAAATTGGACAACATATTATTGGATAAAGATGATACATGGAGAATTTGTGATTTTGGCTTAACAGAGTTTCAAAACGAAGAGAATGGATTTAATAATATATTATATAGCGATATAGTAGGAGGGTCACTAGCTTATTGTGCGCCTGAACAGTTAAGATCTCCCACCCCACTAAAAGATGCTTCCGTTGATATATGGAGTTTAGGTGTGGTCTTATTTGCCATGATAACGGGTCAATTGCCATTCTCCGATTCTTTTCAACCGAGGTTACAATTGAAAATTCTTAATGGACGTTACGATGAAAGTATGTTGGATGTTGCGGTAGCTAGTGATGAATTAAAAGACTTGTTAAAAGGAATGTTTAAAACAAAACCACAACAACGTTTAACAATCTCTCAGATATTGGAACATCAATGGTGTGAACGATGAAGGGTTCCAAAAAAAAAAAAAAATTGCATATTCTCTCAGGAGGAAAAATAAACTTTCTTGGGTATAGAGGTGTGACAACAAAAAAAAATTATAAAAAAAATTTCTGTGGAAACACGGAACTCAATAAAACATAAATGAACTTTCTAACAAAAAAAAATATATATATATAATATATATATTTTCTATTAATATTATATAAATGCTTCTTAAAATTCCCCCTTTTTCATTGTAAATTTACTTTCCTTTTTTTGTATTATTTGACACTTCAAATTTATTTATTTTACAAACAAAATAATGAAATACCGTTATTTTCGAACATATTTACGACCTTATGTATTTTGTTTTTATACATAGTGAAAAAAAAAAAACCCTAAAAACCAACAAAACAACAATATTAATTATATATATATTTTTTCCATTTAAATATATTTACATTTTTTCCATTTTTTTTTTTTAAAAAAAAATAAACTTTTTTAAAAAAGTATTTCGTAAATAAAATGATTTGAATTATGAGTTTTTCATTTGTATAAATAATAAATAAGTCTTTGTAAATTTATTCCAGAACATTCATCATAATACAAAAAATAAGATTATTTATTTATTTATTTAATGATTAATCCCAAACTTTTCTATGGAAATAATGTCACCATTTTCAATAACCTCGTCTAATTTTCTATCCGTTTGTAATATTTTCTTGGTTTCCTTATTGACTAAGATTAATCTCTAGATAAGAAGGGAGGATAAAAATTTACTTTAAATCCAAAAATAATTGTTCAATTATTTCAACTGTAAATCACGCTTACATCTGGATCATCCAATGGGAGTTTGTTATTAATATTATTGATCTTGCCGGAAGTTGCTATCTTATCAAGGGATTTTCCAACAGTCCACTCCTGATAATCAGAAAAGTAAGTAAATGAAGTGAAAATTTATGCGATAAAAAAGTACTTCTAAAAATAGGATAAGAAGAAGTAGTACTTTATTGAAAAACATGGGTTTGTTGGGCACATTCGAATCACTTGGGAAGTCGACTGTAAGATATATACGAGAATTCACGGGTATAGAAGAGTCACCCTACAATGAAAGGAAAGAAATAGATGAATGGATTTTACTATCGAAATTACATAAAAAGTGTAGCGTACCTGAGCTTTGGATTTCAACTTCATCATTTCAATCATTTTATTCTTCTTCTTTGGTTTATTTGTTGTCGTCGTACTTTTCGATGATGATGAAATAATCTCGTCAGACTTGGATTTATCACTGCTAGATTTCTTTATGTATCTCGAAATCATTTCTTCGGCCATCATACGTCTTTTTGCTTTTTCTTCAGATGCTATATTAAGCGATGCGCATTGATGAGATGACGGATGTCGATGTCTTTTTTTTATTGTCATTTTTTTTTTTTTAAAAAAAAAAGGGAAAAGAATAATGAAACGAATTGTTTATTCCCGATTTATTTTTATTTCCATATTTTAAATCATAAGATCAAAACAAAACAAAACAACTCACTTTAGACAAAACATTTCTCCACATCCATCACATACTACGTAAACCAATACACCACCTTCTGAAACGTTCCTACATTCTGTTATAAAACACTTTTTTTTCGTGGTGGAATACACAGAGGATAAGAGATGCAACGTGCAATTTGATTGTGAATGTTCTTTCAACTAGAGGTGGACAAAAATTCATTAACAAAAAATTTTTATTATTTAAAAAAAAAAGGGAAAGGGAATAACATCACTTACAGCATCTTTGGAAGATAATCCTTCAGGTTTTAAAATCATGGAGGAACAAGTTTCACAAAATTGAACATTCTAAAAAAATTTTTTCTTTATTATTATTATTAAGGTCAAATGATGATGATTTAATTGATCGAAATTTTGACAATGATTTAAACTCACCTTTTCATTTTCTTTCCAACGTACACAATGATGAGAGGTAGGATATCTATGATCCAAACTTAGAAAATAATTTTCATCATTATGTTTTTCATATTAGGAAAAAATGGAAAATTGGAAAAATCCAATAATTTTTTAAGGTAATAATAGAAAAGGGAATTTATACCAGTATTTTGTTCCGCAACTCCCACACCAAAAAGGTAAAAAGTCTCTTTAACATAGCGATATAAAAATAGAATGTATCAAATTACTTTTCTTTTATGATCTTTATGAACTATATGAACTATACAAGTATTTCCAAAATTGAATAAACAATATCCAAGCCATATTTGCTTACCAAGCTGTTTACAGCCTCCAAAAGAACAATTCTTTCCGATAGATGGAAATTCCATTAGAAGAAAAAAGATTCCGTCATTCTATTCGATTAGAATTTTTTACCTAATTAGTAAATTACAAAAGCACAAGGTTTGGTTGCCATTGGTTACCCAATTAAATTGGTGATTAAAAAAATTGTCTATATAAATCTACGAGTTTTATTGCAAGGAAAAAATAATTTCAAAAGCAAATTCTCAACTTAAAAAATCATTTAACAAACGGAAATATCAAAATCTTATTCCTTAAAACAAAAAAAAATTTCACAAATTTTCACAAATTTTCACAACTTACAAAATTTTTTTTTTAAAAAAAAAAGTTCCAACTAAAATGTCTATCAGCATTGTAGAAAACATGTATCATCAATCAGATTTCGAAAGTTATTATTATTTCGAATGTAATTTATCAAGCATAGTACCAGAACCGTGTCCAACATTTACCCTTGCGAGAATCTCTCGTATATTTCCCGAAGTAGAATATCTTGGTAGAGTTGGTCATTTAAATGATGTTGTTCAAGTTCGCGTAAAGAAAGATGGTGATATTGACTTGGCAATTTTACAAGAGGGTTTGGAAATGGTTAATGGAGTACAAAGTGTAGAATTGCAAGTTCCAGAAATGAGAATCAAGAAAGCATTATAGAAATATAAAAATTATAATAATTAATACTTTGGGGTTTATCATTTTATAGCACTGTAATTAATCAAATTTAGCATTTTAGATACGAGAATTTATCATTTTTCAATCAAATGTAAATTTTAGAATTTATCGTTTTAGAATCAAATATCTTTTTGCATTAATAAATTTATTTTACAATTTAATTTAATCTTAATAAATTCTTTTTTTACAAAAAGTGATCAAACATATTAATTCAGAATGTAAATTTATTTAACAGTTAACCGATAAAATTAACCACAAAAAAATGAAGAATTATGCTGCAGAAAACGAAATCAGCAAAGGCTCTAATTTAATATGAAAAGAGAATTAGTAAAAATGTAAAAAAACATCAAAAATTCGAAAAATAAAAATTTTGTAGAAACGTTACCTCTCTGGGGAAATTCCTTTAAACTCATCACTATTTTCTGGATTAGTTTGTATCCGTAAATTTACTAAGATAGATACGAAAGAAAATAAGGTTAAAAATTCACTTCAAAAAAAAATATTTTTGTACCTCAAATTATAAGCTTACCAGCCAAAACAAATGATCCTATGGTAGAAATAAATCCAGAAAGAAAAGCATTATATGGATAAAGTCCCACTAAAATACAATGAATAAATTGAAAAACACCAGAAAATAAAATGTAAATTAAATATGCATCAATCATTTTAAGAACTTGTGGAGTTTCTTTTTGATATGATGTCCATAATCTTTGTATTGCAGCAGAAATTGTTATAGCCATATTTATCTATTTTATGTTGTGTTGAAGGAAAAAAAATTTCAGAGAACGAACGGTTTTTATTTATAATTGCTACAAATGAAAAGCTGCCAAATTGATAGATGTTGATTGGTTAAAATTTGCAGCAACATCATGTGACAACAAAAACGTGTGCATTGCATAAAAAGTTAGATACAGCAAATATTCACGAAACCCAACGTTTGATTCATCACTTTTAACCAAAAGGTTACAAAACATTACAAAACAATCATGAGGTAATTGATATTAAATTGATGTTTAGAGATATTTTTGGTTCCATAGTTGTCCCAAATATCAAAGAAAGGTTGCGAGATCTAGTTTTGAGAAATCTGCTAAACTATATATATCAAACCATCAATTTTTTATTTTTTTATTTTTCAGCATGGCTTCTCTAAATTACGAACCTATTTATTAATAAACCTTCTTACTTTTAATAGTACTGCAGGAAAATCAAAAGCGGAAATGACAGAGGAAGAGCTCCGTCAACTTGAGGAGCATGAATTTAACACGGGACCTTTATCGGTTTTACAACAATCTGTCAAGAATAATACTCAAATCTTGGTAAACTGCAGGAATAATCGAAAATTGCTCGCTCGTGTGAAAGCATTCGATCGACATTGTAACATGGTATTGGAAAATGTTAAAGAGGTACATTGTCAACGAAATCATTTCATATTATTATGTGATTCATTTATAATTAATTTTCAAATTTTTATTTTTAGATGTGGACAGAAACACCGAAAGCCGGTAAAGGTAAGAAGGCCAAGCCGGTTAATAAAGATAGATTCATTAGCAAGATGTTTTTACGTGGAGATTCGGTCATTCTCGGTAATTTCTAGATTTGAATTTGATATGATTTGAATTTTTCCTTCAATCGTATTAATTACTTTTTTTCCTTGTTAGTATTAAGAAATACGGTATAATAAAGTATTTGTAAATTGTTATTGTGTTAAAATGTTCAACCAGTATACGAATGATAACAAACCTGGAGATGAGTTTTTAACATTACTAATGAGATAAATATTTACGACCTTTTAATCGTCGTCTTGCAAGAATTTTTTTCCCAGTTTTACTTTTTAATCTTGCTAAAAATCCGTGCCTGCGTTTTCTAACTAAATTACTTGGTTGATATTCTCTTCCATATGCTCTGAAACGAACTTGAGTTCCGAAAATATTCGTTGTTTGTGATGGTATAATTTGACTTGGAAAATTTCTTTTTTAAAAAAAAAAATCCAATTAATAAATTTTTTCTCATTGTAAAAGGTCATTATAATTTACCTTACTTTTGATGATTTAAAATTCCGAATGGGGAAAATCCATTCGTAGAAAATACTTGTTGTATTCGTGAAGTTATCGGACAAAATTTTCGTGCTAAAGATGATAACATTTTTGTTATTGCATTACAAAATTCTTTTGATATTTTAGATCAAACTTATCGGTTACACGGAGGTATAACATTATTGATAAGTCGAATAATCCAATCAGAGCATTAGCATGGCTAACAACGTGGAGAAACTTGGGAACCAATAAAGAAATCAATCGGTGACTTTATAATAACAGTTGATTTCTTGCAAGCGTGTCTGACATGCGAATGTTTTCCTAAACCTTTTATTGCAATATCATTATTCCCATATACATATACATACCGCATTATTTACAAGAAAACAAAAATCTATTCGCATAATCAAAAAAAAAAAATATTTGAATATTTTGTTATTTAATTAATTTTTTTGTATATACAAGATTAAAAGATAAAAGTTGAAAAAATTAAGACCCAACCCAACGGTGATGTAATCTATAAACATAGTCTGAAAATGTACTTTCGGGTGTACCAATAAATTTACCACCTCTCGCGGCTACAATCCCATCAATGAAAGGAACAAAGTATTGAAATAATAAAGCACCATCTCTCGGGTTTTTTAATTTACTTAGTGCATCTAAATATTTTGTAAAGTTTGAAGATAGCATAAATACGCAAGGAAATTCTCTAAAGAATTTCCTTAATCTCTGATCTTTACGAGGTTTATCACTAGCAAGGTAAATGATAGGAACATGACGTTGCTCCGCAGCAATTGATCGTAAACATTTCTTGGCATCTATTGTAATTGCTTCTACAGGGAATAAATCTTTTGCTAAGTAAACATCGTCTTCATCCAATGGAGTTGTTGGAAGCTCATTTAATAATTCCTTTATGATTTGATCCACATTTTCTTCCGCTTTTTCGCCGAATTTTCTATCTAAACCATTATCACCTAACCTCAAATGAACGCCAATATATGCACCTTTTCCACCTAATTGTTCGGAAATCTTTTCGCCAACGTTCAATAAAACAGGATGATTAATTATCATATTTTCTCTAACAGAGTTAATAAATTCAATATTATCTTCGTTTTTTAAATTGAATCTAAGCAAATGATAAACCGAACCAAAATGTATAAGTTTGTCTTTACGTTTTTGTAAGGAACACAAATTAACCAGAAATTTGAAATTATCATTTGATACTTGAGTGGTATTTTCGTCGTCATAAAATTGAAAATCATATCTTGTTTCTTCTGCCAATGTATAAACTTGAGTTTCAGGGTTCGTAATATTTAAATAAGAATAAAGTTCTTTGACATCGAAATTCGTATCATTACGATGAACATAACGAATATGTTTCTTTATAAATTCAAAATTCAATAATTCTTCCCAATCTAATTGCGTAAACTTACAAGCTTGATCTTCAACACCTTTGATCTCACATAAAGCTATGTCGTTAGTTAAATTACCATTTAACATATTATATAATACATCAAATGGACGATGAGGGATATATTTCTTCTTGGAAAAAAGGATTGGTGGCATGATCAACGTACGATTCAACACCCATGATAAGAAAACGGCATTTTCAAGACTGTTTCTTTGATTATGAAATCCACTATGTGGCAAATATGTCATATATCTTTCTTCATTAGAAACAACGCCATTGGGGTCAGAACAAGTTGATGGATTTGAAAAGGAACTTTTTACATCATTTTCATTACCATTTGTTTGTTCCTTATAGACCAATTGATCATTTGGTGGAAAACATATCAAATATGTAAGTGTAAGGTAAATTGTAAGAAATAATATAACGAAAGGAAAAAATCTTTTATTCATATTCGAAAATTCTGAAGAAAAAAAAAGGAATTACGAATTGATAATTTGATGGGATAAATCTTTTTTTTCTTTTTATACTTTGTAAAGTTTAAGATTTATTCTATTTTGAAAAATTTCGGATAATACTCCTATAAACGGAAATTACGAATTATATCTTTTTATTTTGAATTGTCGCCCTCATATATTCAATATTTTGTTACTTATAGTTATATATAACAAACGGAAATTCCGATATAAAGTTGTTTGCCCCCTATATGCCGTTCATTGCTCTTTCTTGAACGAACTTGAATAAGAAAGATTTCCTTGCCTACCTAATTTTAAGTGATCGATCGCTTTATTTTGGCTTGATTTACTAAAAATTTATAAAAGCTTTCCATTTTTGGTTTATTCTTATTTCTAAGTTCTTGATTACACAGTAATGCCAAGCAGAATTTCATACACATCATCTGTTTTTCAAGCAACAAATGATCAATGATTTTTAAAAAAAATTATAACAATCTAATTCTGTAACTATTATTTGGAATTGATATTTTTCTTTTCAATATCAAAGAATATATTATACTAAATAATTAAAATTTTTGTTATTATAGCTACTGTAAATATACAACAAAACCATCTTTTTTATTATTTAATTTTAAATTTTAGTAATTTAAAATTAGAAATTTAAATAAATAAATATAATGTATCAATTTTATCAAATTAATTTTTATTTTAATTTATACAAATAATATTTGTTGATGCTTTTCTAATCAATTTCTATGACATTTTACTGATATTTTTCGTAGTATAAATTGACCAATCATATAAATCATTTAATAAAAATTAATTTAATAACATTAAAATTATTATTATCTTTAATTATTAAAATTATAGTAGCACTAAATTTATACATAAAATAATTCAATAACTTACAGTATTTTTGGATATATTGTAGGTAGGAATAGAATCTATGTGGATTCTGAATCCATCGAGATGAATACAAAATATTGATCAGAATTAAGATTAATTAAGATTAGCATTAGGATTGGGTTAAATAGTACTAGTCAAGGTTCAGTATCCATCAATATCCAAAAACTATATACAACAAATATAAAGAGAAATATTTGAAAACTACAATTATTAAATATTAATAATCATCTAAAGGATTTGAATTTCTTGAAAAGGTGTTTGTAATATTAAATGATTTTTATTAATGTTAATATTATTTTGAATAAATGAATTTTTTGTTCAAAAGATAATTTATATATTTAAAAAAAAATGTTATCTATTGAATATATCAACAGCCTGCTTAACTAATATTATCTTATAATTATTATCATATTTTTTTTTTTATTATAAAAATAAATTCTACAATTTGCATTTAAAGTTATAAAATATTATTAGTATTATTATAATTTAAAGCCCAACTTTTGGTAGATTTTTTAGTATTTTTACTTTTGATTATTTATAATAATAGAAAGTTTTTTCTTGAATAATATCCTAAATATTATTTGTAATAAAATCATTAAAAATTAAACTATTGTTATTTAAATCTTAGAAAAGGCAGAAAAATTTTTTTATATTTTTTAATTAATAAATAAAATAAAAAAAAGGTGAAGTAAAAAATAAAAAAAATACAAGTATAATACTTATAATACTAAAAAAATAATGAAAAAGTTTATTTATAGTTAAAAAAAATTAGTATATTATAATAATATGATAGAACTGTAATATAAAACAGTTATTTCATAAAATTACTATAAAATATTCAGCTACATTGTAAAAATCATTAATATTTATAGTTATCTTTAAAATATCTATTATATGGGATGAGTATTACGAAAAGGGACCAAATTGTAAAAAAAAACATTTTTAAAAATAATTAAAGTTCTGGATCAAACAATAAAAGTTACATCTATTTTACTTAAGAATAAATGTTTAAAAAAAATTTTATTTGATCACTTTTTGCAATACTCATCCCATATATTTTATATAAATTATAAATATTTAAATTGTATTATTTGTTTAATTGAAATAATTATATTAATAAATAGTTGATTTTATAATCCTAATTATAGTTTTTTTTCTTATTCAGTTATTGTAATAATATCAAGATAGTGATAATGACCTTTAACAAGTTATAATTATCTACTCAAATCCTCAACCCAAGCTCTTCATTTTATAAGCAAACCTCAAAAATTTGACTGGTCTTTAGATCTTACATATATGTTATCATATATATCAGACTTAAGTTCTTTGAAAATTGACTTCTAAGATTACTAATCATCTAAGAATCACATATCACTTTAGACTGATAGATCTATTATACTATAATTCTTACTATAGATGGGGGGGAAGAGGGCAGTTCCCACTAAGAAGGAATCTGCTTTCCATTGCCTTCCTGCTATATTCCTTTGTATTTCTTTTCCATTTCT